TTGGCAGCAGTCTACCTGACATCAGAAGACTGCCTTTGAGGGGGAAGAACGAAAATTTAAATTTTGACAATGAAAAGACAGGCTCTATATCATCTGAAGTCAGTGGACAGGCCTACCATGCATAATTTCAAAGACGGCACAAAGCCTGTACAAGCAAGCGATGGATGGGTTCATTTCTTCTTCTCTAAAGCTTGTTGATCTGCACATTCCTCCCGTCACATCTTGTTAAATTGAATGACAATCAGTGCATCATTTCAGCCTCTGAGAGAAAGTCTCTACTTCCCATCTCAGGCTCAAAACATCTGACGAACATTGCAGATGCCTCTCATGCTGTGTGTCATTTTCTGGCACTGCAGAAAATACCTCTGAGAACGTATGAATAGCAATTAAGACATTTTCAAATGAAGTGGCTTTGGTACAACAGTTCGTCTTTCCCTTCCTCTTCCCTGCCTTGCCATATCACTTCTGACATTTTTGACAGCAATTACTTTTTTTTTTTTATATATGTACGTATATATAGGCCAACATAAAATCATATCCACTGTATTGTTGCTTTATTTGTATTTTCTATTTGTCTTGAGCTTCTAGCATATAAATAACCCCCAAGTTGTATTTGTTGTCAGAGTTGTAATATTTGTTTTAGGGGCAAAATGTAATATTTAAAAGAAAAAAAAATAGAAATATTTCTTTTGACATTTAATCTCTGCATACCCAACAAAAATGCATTTGCTGGTTCTATGCATAGTCCTAGATTATCCATCTCCTCAACGGCACTATGAGTATATTCTAAGTTCCATACCAGTCACTAAAAGTAAAAAAACAAAAGTCCTCCGAAGCTATACTATAGATTTGTGTGAGAAACAGGCCAGTTTTCAAGTTATTGTATATAAACCAAGCGGCAACCTTCCAGTCTCTCTCGTGAAGCCAATACGGAAGTGACTTAAACTGCAATTCATCGACTGGCCGCTAGAGACAGGTTCCAAAAGGGAGTCAATTCCATATATCCCCCATGTTAAAATGGCCAAATTTACAGCAGAAAAAAATGTTTACAGCCTGGTACAAAAATTGGTTTTGGTCTATATAGCTAATTTTGCACTTTATGACAACTGTAAGGGGGGTACATTTTTTTGTAACTCATCCATTTAAATTATATGAAGCCTTATAATTCAGCATAATTAAGGGCGTGGCCACTTGAGTGACAGGTGGATTGCCGCTGCTGTCTGCTGTCTGTATCGCACCCTAACGGTACTGATCCACTTGTCCGTGCGACACTTCAGCCGCGCCGCACTCCACTTTATTCCTATGGGTGACGTCACGCGACAACACGCCCGCAAAGCATCCCGGGAAGGCGGCGCTTCATTTGAAAAAATGCTGCGCGTCCAAAAGCTGGCCGATGCCCAGCTTTATGCAAATGAATCCGTCAAACGCGAAGCGTCTATCCAATAGAAGTAGAGCATATGGAGATGGGGGGAAGTCTCTCGCAAGTCCTCTGTTCTAGACTGGCCGCTGGCTCAAAACCACGCCCATAGCGGTAAACACGAGGAACGCCCATCAATGTACAAATGTGGGGAGGCGTCGCGACACCACGCTTCAGTCGTCTCGCAAAAGTGGATCAGTAACGTGAGGGCACCCTAAGCAACTTAATTCCGTTGAACGCGCCGCGTCTATCCAATAGAAGTAGAGCATATGGAGACGGGGAAGTCTCTTGCAGATCCTCTGTTTTAGACTGGCCGCTGGCTCAAAACCACGCCCATAGCGGTAAACTTGAGGAACGCCCATCAAAGTACAAATGTGGGGAGGCGTCGCGACAACAAGCGACTGTCGTGTCGCAAAAGTGGATCTCTACCGTCAGGATCCACTTTTGTGTCGCAAAAGTGGATCTCTACCGTCAGGATCCACTTTTGCGACACGACTGAAGCGTGATGGTGTTGCGACACCTCCCCTCATTTGTACGTTGATGGAAGTTCCTCAAGTTTACCGCTATGGGCGTGGTTTTTGTAGTAGGACGTCTAGAACAAATGGGACCCGTGAGAGACTTCCCCCAGTCTCCATGTGCTCTACTGGATAGTCGCGTCACGTTCAACGGATTAATTTGCATAAAGATGGGCATCGGCCAGCTTTTTGATGCGCAGTATTTTTTCAAATGCAGTGCCGCCTTCCCGGGATGCTTTGCGGGCGCGTTAATGGCGCTTGACGTCACCCATAGGAATAAAGTAGAGTGCGGCACGACAGAAGTGTCGCACGGACAAGTGGATCTGATCATGTCGAGCTAGGCAGGCGTGGTTTGTGCAACCAGGCACCTCAGCTCCACCCACGTCCCGCCTCTTTGCTCATTTTCGGTTATCCGGGAGTGGCGCGAGGTGACGCGAGGCCAAGATGGCGATGGCCGGCTCCGCCCACTTTAGGCTTCAAAAATGCTCTTCAGAAATCTACGGGTGACGTCACGGACACTACGTCCATATTTTTTTTACAGATATAAACACACAGTTTTGGGGGTAACGCATTAAAAGTAACGTGAGTTACGTAATCATATTACTTTTTCAAGTTAATAGTAAAGTAACACATTATTTTCTAATTTACAACAAAATATCTTAAATTGAGTTACTTTTTCAAAGAAGTAAGCCAGTTTCTTTGTTTCCCCATTTATTGACTGACACCTCTCCTGTCCCCATGTTGAGAAAAATCGAAAGTGGAAAGGGTGTTGAACATGTGAACATGATGCTTGTTGTAGTTCTAGACTAAAAGTGAGCCATTATGGATGCCAAAAAGTAACTCTAAGGCAGCCATGCTCTGACTCTCTCTGTGTTCTCAATTACCTGCCCTTGACCTAGTTTATGCAAGTTGACATTTATTGTTCATAGCAGGGACAGAGAACGCCTAGTTCTTTTAAGCAATGTGACTAAAAGTGCAACAGCACCATCTGCTGTAAACACGCAATTATGCATACACATTAAAATGTAGAGCCATGTTCTTTAGAGCCAGGTTGAGTCTGTCTCACTGTAAGTCATTGCAAGGTCTGCTGCAACTTTTATTGGATCTAGTCCAGACTGTCGTGTTTATATTGAATTCTTATTTGAGCTCTGCAATGAGTATCTTACTTTAGAATCTAAAGTAATTTGATGGTCCCAGTGATATCGACAGGAGCGTGGATTACTTTTATGTAATGTCCAACAAAATCACACTTGCTGTATTTTTTTGCAAGATGAAATTAATTTGTGACAGATTATTATTAAGTTTTGTGATTTCAGAGAAAGTAAAGTAAATATTCTCAAAATTAGAAAGTTGCTAATACTAACAAAACAGATGAAACGTGAAATGTTGTGAGTGGAATTTGTACAGGTCTGTACTTTCTTACCTTCATTCAGAGGTCTTGGCATTGATTTCTCACTCCCTGCTTGGATGAAACAGACACAGCTTTCCATGAACCGGAGGTCAGGTAATTTCAGAAGGCTTTTCAGATATTGCCATTTCCAACATCTGGTGGGACTGAAACAACACCTGCAGCCGTTTTAGCCTTTTGCACTCCCTCTCCACCCATCTTCTGATGTGCTGCAGCAATTGCGTTGCATTAATAATCAATTTTTATTCCCTTTGAAATGTTCAGTCTTTGTTTTGCTCTTGCTCTGTTGGAGAACAAAGAATATAATTGCAATCTATCCATTTTATCAGATACAATCTGGCTTTGGGCATTGCTCTGTCCTTTCGCATCACTTTCATCTTGTGACATTTCAAACTATCAACAAATAACACATTAATTTTTTAAAGGTTACACTGCACCAATTCAGGTTCTTTTTTTTTTTCTAGCCTTGGACCACTTAGGTGAACTTCCTAAGTCTCTGGGCCTGTTTGTTTGAAATGCTATTGCCTCTTTTCATTTCATATCGATTCAGTTATGTCCTTCATGTAGAATAATGATTCTACCCATGTACTAGATGTATTGACCATTGTAGTAATCTTGCTGTTATTGTTAGATTTTGACTTCAAATCCATAATGTTTAGCATAAAGAAAGTAGCCAGACTGTTGGTAACATGTTGATTTTGTTGCAGATGACATGGTTAATCTTTGTGGTAGTGATACTGACTTGTTTCAGAGGTCGTATTTTCATTTTCAGATAGAATTCCTTATTAGTTTCAAGACAGTAGTGTCTGTTAGATGTTTTAGATACAAGACATCTAACAGACAGCTGAGGCAATATGCATCCATTGCTGTACAAGAGACAACCACTGGAGGCCACTGGAGTATTACACAAAAAATTAAAAATAAAGGGGCTTGAAACATGTGCAGGACAAGTAGTGCCTATTACGATGGTATACGTCATGGAAATACACAGGAAAGAGAATAACTTTTTATTTCTAAGTTTCTTTAGCATGCCATAGAAAACAATGAAAAAGTCAACGAAAGCATTTTCTGTATTACAAATGCGTCACACTAGTAAACGTATTCTTGATCAGCATGTTACATTCCAGTTAAGTCAGGTAATGAGGCTCTTCAATAAAATATTATGGCAGTCAAACAACAAATGAATGTCAGTACATCACAAAGCAAGAATTTATATAACGGTTTTAGTGACTGATTTTGACGTCATGGTTAAAGACCCCATGATACCAAGGGTTTTGTTGCATTTAGTCCATGTCTGTAAGCTTTGAAGTTGTATATGTTATTTTACTTTTAAATGCAGACAAAATGATCATTTGGCATATATACAAATTTAAAATTGTCATAGGGAACATTTCAACACAAAACTGTTTGGCATGTGATTTCATGGGGTCTTTAAAATATTTAATAATGGAATTCAAACATATTGAAGTAGCATGCCAATATGTTATGATAATAAATTACACTGGACCAGGGACTATATACAATACAAATTACAAAACCTTTACATAAAGGTGAAATATCAATATGATATAATAGTATATTTTCTACTGTAAACCTTATTACCATTAAAATCATGACTTACCAACACGTGCTAATTACTTTGGTGTTTTTTGATTATTTGTTTATTTTTATTTTTTTTGCTTCTATAGTAACTTCGTGCTGAACCTAGTCTCGGACAAAATGTGTCTTCAGATGAGAATTGCATGAGTGAGTGTCCACAAACATTTTGGGTAAACCAGGATAATTTGTTGCAAGTACAACTGGAAGTATTCACAGTGGTTTTTAAAATTGTGTATCTAAGATCAAAATACATTTTCCACAAAATTACACAAGTATGTTGCTGTCTTTGAAATACATTTGATTTTGATATAGTTAAAAGATAGAAGAATGTCAAAAATGTTGGATGAAAATAAGATGTAAATACTAAAATGAAAAGTTGTATCTAAAAACAAAATCAGCCTGGATACATTTTCAAAAGTATTCTTTTTTTTTTCTCAATATAAAATGTGAAGTTTTCTTATATAATTTTATTACAGTAAAGTAAAATCTTATAAGCATTTTTTCCCCAGTTTCTAATAGTGCTGAAATATCTGAGCAAAAACAGAATGTTTTTGAATCCAGTATTGACGATAGCTTTGATTAACTTTCTGTACTATGTGAAAAGAGCATTCCAAGAGTTGACATTGCACGCTTTTTTGAGGTCAAAGTCCAGGGACTCTGTGCCTTCAAGGCAGTTTCACGACCACCACACATGCCCCAGCTCTCCCGATGTTTAGAAGAACCTCCTGGAATAACAAGAGATAGAGGTTAATGACCAGTGTCCGACCGCAGAAAATTCCCTCCTCCGCAGTGCTCTGTCACTCTGTCTACTTACAGCCCATCAGGTAATCTTATGAAAGAGAGAGCAAGAGGGAGCCATGGGAAGCTCAGACAGGAGGCAAACTAGACTTGAATAGAGTGTTTCTAATGCAGACTGGGTGAGGAAAGAGTGGCTTGTGACACAGTGGAAAACAGATGAATGGCAGGAAATGCTTGCACTTCCTGTTCACAGATGCACATCATCCACGCATTGAAAGAATATGCACAAAGCTGACTGTTTTGACATAATCCAATGTTCTACAACTAGGAAATTTCTAGGTTCAAGATTTCTTATTATTCTGAGCACACGACATGGTTGGTAAAACTATGGACAGCTAAGATTTATTCAGGAGTATTTCAGTTAAATACAAGTTAAGTTTAACTGACAGTCCCTGTGGCATAATACATTTTAAATAGGCTTTATGCCGAGCGTCACGTGACCAAGCCGGAAAACAGATCACATCGCTTCCGATTCAGGTCTTTTGTATGTGCTTCATGAATTTTTTTGCGGTTTTACTCAAGATAACTTAAAAGGAGCAAGCAAAAATGAGCATAACCAATGTCCCTCGCATGTGCAGATTGATATTTAAAAGTTTTTTAAATTTTTCTTCTTCACACTAACGTTTAGATATTTAAATAGCATAAAACACCAATAATAAAGTGAACTTAGTAGGTTAGCTGATTACCTTAAAAATCCATAGATATCGTAGTTAGTTCTTACGGCCGTTAACACGTTCTCTGACAAGCGGATGCAATAAGACCTGTTTTCCGGTTTGGTCACGTGACGCTCGGCAAAAAGCCTATTGCTCCTTTTTTCTTTACAAAAAAGCAAAAATCTGGCTTGCAGTGAACTTACAGCACAATACAATGGGGCCGGTTTCAAAATTATAGCCACAAGACATAAACGATATGCATGTTAAAGGGATAGTTCACCCAAAAATGAAAATGATCCCATGATTTACTCACCCTCAAGTCATCCTAGGTGTATGACATTCTTCTTCCAGACGAATACAATCGGAGTTATATTCAAAAATGTCTTGGCTCTTCCCAGCTTTATAATAGCATTGAATGGCTGTTTCTGTTTTGAAGTCCATAAAAGTGGATCTATTGTAATAAAGGCCTTCTGAAGCGGTGAGTAAATCATGGGATAATTTTCATTTTTGGGTGAACTATCCCTTTAACATGATTTTACTGTGGAATAAAATCACTAACCGTTTCTGTGTTGTTATAACCAGTTAACTTTTATTGCCATGACAATGTAACATCTAAAACACTAAACTGACCATACAAATAAGAGAGCAACTTTACAGCTAAAATAATATACATGTGATGAAATGATAAGCTTTACATTTCTGCTTTCTGTGAATCCTTTAATTAATTGGCCCTATTTACTTCTATTGTAAGTGCATCACTGTAAAAAAAAAATGAAAACGCAGTATTGTTGATTATTTGTCCCACTTTTGTACTTAATCCCTCTGAAAATGTTAAACACACTCAAGTGCATTACATGCTGTTTTACAGCAGATAGTTTTACAATCAGTGACTGAATAACAGCATCATCATTAGTTCTGGTTTTCCTGTATATTAGCAGAATTGCAAATGTGATATTGTTTAATAAAATTTAAGTTGAGGGAATGATTCAATTACCCATTCATAAAGTGGCCAATCACTTGCTTCATTCCTGAATAAACCAGTCCTTTTGAAATAATCAAATGATTCGATGACTCACTAATTAAGACTTTACACTACCTACTGGCAGTTTTAGTTTAACTAGTAAAATATAAGTAACTTAAATGTCCAAATTTAACTTAGGCCTACTCCTAGCTAGAATCTAATCCCTGTCTGTGAAACCGGGCCTAAAGCCCAATTTATACTTCTGCGTCGAACTCACGCCGTAACTACGTCGTAGGCTGTGTGTAGTGCGCGTACCCTTCGGCGTACCCTGACGTGCACCTCTCCAAAAAAGTAAAAACGCGTCAATTCTACGCGTACCGCAAGCGCTGTGATTGGCCTGCTAGAACCGCTCCCCGGGTTTCACATGCTCCCTCTGCATGTGTAATTTCACGTCAACGCGGACAACGGCGCAGAAGTATAAATGAAAACCAACGCGTAGTCTATAGCGTAGAGCCTCCGGCGTAGGTCCGACGCAGAAGTATAAATCAGCCTTAAGTGTTTTTCAATTTAAGCGGTTTAGAATGTATGGTGTTTTTAGTCATTGAAATACTGCAGGTGCTGTATATGGATCACAAGTGCTCAACTTTGATTTTGTTCACAATATTTTTTTATTCTTCTTTTGACGGGGAGACGGGGCAGAGTTGAATCTGCTCAGGGAAAGACACTGGTTTGCTGACAGGGAAACTGTACCGTGGAAGAATACACATTAAGCAGGGACCAAGATGGGTCTTGTGCATGTTGCCCACTAGGGTCCCACCTAGTGGCAGGTGCAATTCTGCATGAAATCCATCTGGGCAATTAACATGGGGCTATTATGGAACCCGTGGACAATCCTATATGGGGCCTTTTTTTCAGCCCATTTCATACCCATATGGGCCCCACATACAATCACAACATACGGGGCATGCACACAAGTACTAGGCCTTGCGTAGGATGCCTCCGCCGTGTCTGACTGCCAAAGGATGCTTGGAGGAAACTCCCCCCAGTGTTCGCCAGGCATTTGTACTTGGGAGGAAACCAGCTCCACGCGGAGATTGTAGAATCTCGTGAAAGAGGTGGGTAGTAACAAAGTACCTTTACTCCATTACATTTACAGTACATGAGTAATTTTTGGGGAAAATTTGTACTTTTAAGAGTAGATTTAACTGTGGCCACTTATTCTAATAAAAATACTGTACTTTTACTTCGTTGCGCTGGGACCGGCTCTATACGCTGATTTCACGCAGCCGTTATTTTGAAATCGAAAGCGAGGCTCCGGTGGGAAGAAAACCGGAAGTGTCGCCTTTAATCATAGGAGAGTCGCGAATAAAAATGTACATACATTTCTTTCATACTTTAGACTATATACAGTGAAATTAAGTTATAAATATTTATTTATTTATATATATATATATATATATATAATTCAGAAAGTAAAAAAAGAAACAGGAACAAACTATATACATATCCTATATTGGATATTAACATCCAATAGTGTAAATCGCGGCAGCAGCTTCAGGTTGGTAGTCCAATGCATTGTTGTTTATCTTTACTTCCGGGTTCTTCCCACTAGGCTTGCTACGGTAGTCGGTGTTACCGGTGTTCAGGCGCAACACCGGTTTCATCACTTGTCCACCGCGACACCGCAAAAAAAAAAAAAAAAAGAAATATAGGCATATATTTATATATTTAACGCAATTACGCAGTAGGCTATCTGTTTTTTTCTGTCACCCGTTGACTACCGTTGTGTGATCATGCTCTTATTAATGTGAATGATATTAAGCGCGACAAGACTAAAGAGACCGTGCTGTCCTGCCTACACACACACGCGCGCGCCCGACCCACAGAAAACACGAGCGTCAGTATCGAGTTCTCTTTCGGGCTTGAACAAACCATAACACACACAAATTATGCCAAAATGTCAGTTTTGACGAGTGTCCTCATAAGAGCAGTCTTAAATGATTTAAATAATGTCTTAAATTAACATAGAGATTTGTGAGAAAATGGGACGCGTGTTGATCGCGTCTCTGTCAGCAGCGGCTGGTCTTAAAGTGTAATTAAAGTAAATCAAAGAACAAAGGTAAGAGAGTAAATGACTCACTCAGACCCGGAGCCAGGAGGATTATTAAACTGGTTGCCTAATAATCATGAATGCACTGCTATCTTTAACACATTTCCGGCGAACGGCTTCTTCACGCAAAAGAAAAACTCTTCATGAAGCGCAGTGAAATTCAGCGACCTGGCGTTTCCTGATGGATCGAGGTTGTTCATACCTTAATTTTATACGCGCAACTCACGTAGCCTATAAGGACACTGTACGTGCTGACAGACAGGACCGAGCAGGTAATATTTAATATGAAACAAAGTCTCAACTTTCAAATTTGGTCAGTGACAGTCAAAGAAAATTAAACAATAGGCCTACCGTTTTGTGGCTCTGTGTCGTGAGAGATTGCCTCAATTAAAGACAAGTTCAAATCCACCGACGTTAGTCTACTAATCTAGACTACTAAACTACTACTCTCCTGACTGCTTTGTCGGACAAAAATGGTGGATTTTGATTTGTCAGATCACATCAAACTCCCTGCGAAGGATGAATTGACGCTAATGTATAAGTGACAGTGAAGTGCACACTGCTGCAGTAGCACCGCGATGTAAAAAAAAATAGTTTCGTTTTCAAATGAGTGGCAATTCAGCGCACAATAACAAAACAGTGTTGCTCCGCACGACCACCATTATGCATGCCCGTGCAAACGCGCGCATTTTACATGTGGCTTTAAATTAGCGATTTAAAAGCCCCCGCCGGTGATACCGATATTACCGGTGTTGTAACACGTCGATTAACCAGTGTGAAAAAATCCTCACCTACACATCGCTACTTCCCACCGGAGCCTCGCTTTCGATTTCAAAATGGCGGCTGCGTGAAATCAGCGTATTGCGTCCTTCACCAGCAGGACCGCAATCTCCGCACGCAGAAAAAGGAGCATCCTTGACTTCCACTGAGTTAAACGCTGCTGAACCTGAAGAAACTGAAGATTTTCCAACCTGCCCTCCTCCGGGGGAAGGAGCAGTGCACCCACTGTCTCTTAAAGAACAACTCCCTCGAACTCTGGGTCACCTGTCTCAGGGATGGTGTTTCACTGACCACTTGAGGGTTTACCAGCGGCTGAGATGATCTGCGTAGCCTTCCTGTGGGCAGCTAGATGTTGCGGCTTGAGTCATGGCTGCTGTTGTGGCCGCAACGGAGCAGATGCAGGCAGACCAGGTGGAGGGGCAGCCCCTGATTGTCTGGGGGCAGCAGCATCCCGCTGGGACAGGATGTGTTTGACCGCCTCCGTCTGCTTCTGTACTGCAGAGAACTGCTGGGCAAAGTCATCGTCAGTGTCGTCAAAAAGGCCGGCCTGGGAGAAGGAGTTGTCGAGAAAGCGAACTTTGTCAGCCTCCATCTCAGCCAGGTTCAACCAGAGATGATGTTCCTTGACCACTAGAGTGGGCATCATCTGATCGTTGCCGTACGCAGTTCCTGCATCAACCCTGGTTCAGAGCTATTCTCTTGCAGCTCTTTTAGCACTGTGTCCTGATGTACTTGCAGGATGGCTATAGTGTGCAAGGCAGAGGCAGCCGGTCCAGCGGCACTGTGAGCCTTGGTGGCAAGTGCGGCCGAAAACTTACAGGGCTTGGATGGGAGGTGGCAGCACTTTGTGGGTATAAATGCACCGCAATTGCATGCTCCACCTGAGGAATATCCGCGTAATCCTTGGCTGCCCCTCCGTCAAGGGGAAGTGAGAGCGGAGGAAGCAGCGAAGCGGCTTCTGGCTGTAAAATGTGCCTTCCATGACTCCTCATGCACCTTCGGGAAGAAAGGAACCTGGGCAGGGCCGTGCTACTCTTTTAATAGTTGAAGCACCCAGGGGTGAAATCACTGCACTTAGCTGTGCAGTTAATTTTTTTTATGCGACCAGAGCTGAATGCGCCATCTCTCCAACTCAGAACTGCTTCCCGTTCTTGTCAGCTCACACAAAAAAAATGAATGCAGAGCACTGAAGTGTCTCAACCGCTCAGCTTGAATGAGTTGCACTCTGCCTTATATACCTGTATGTACGGGAAGTGGCTTACCATGCAAATCTCACTCACCAATGTGCATAGGCTTGTTTTGTTACCACTCGAAGGTAATTGGGCACTCAGTCGAGAACCCACTGGTTCAGTCAGTTCTGGCGTGATGTCGAACGTGACTGACTGACTGATAGGGAACTATGAATAAGGTTAGAGAAATCAACCAGAAATGTACTGTATGGACAGCATCACTTTCTGTGGATCTGTATAAATAAGTAAACAAGCACCAAAGGAGAAAAAATTAAAGAAAAATAGAAAGTGTGTAATAAAGGTCACTATTTATTTTTTATTTTTTTATTATTATTTTTTTAAGTGGGATTTCAAGAACTGGAAAAGTCATATATAAAAAAAAAAAAAAATCTTCTAACTCCATGGGTATTTTCACAATGAATATATTTTTGCAGTTATGATAAGCTCTAAAAAATTAATCAGGTACAAAATTGTGAGTAAAACAAACAGTAAAGCCTGATTTAAACATGGACTCAATGCACCCACCTCAGTCCATTCATTGTTCTGTGCATCATAGGACTCAACACTGTTCAAGTAGGTCTGACCATCATAGCCTCCGACCGCATATAACCTGTCTCCCAGCAAACACACCCCCACTGCATCCCGGGGGACGCTCAGGGAGGACACTGTGGTCCACGTGTCTGTTTTGGGGTCATACCTGTGTGAATGCAGTACAGAACATATGAGACGAAATACAACACAATAGAAAAACAATGCTAGCACTTTCAATATAGGCCACTGAAAAAAAAGAGAGATAATTACACAGAGCATGTAAACAGCATTAAGTCTGTAATCTAGACAGTGGAAGCCTTTGAAAGCACAAGGACTATGATTATCATCTCTAACAATGAAATCTATTGTGTTTTCAACATGTAGAGTAATGCGTTTAAGTTTCTGATGGCCTTTGTTCCTTAATTAATGTATTTTTTATTGTATTTTAGCTACTTATTTCAGTTATTTACTTATACATTGGCTCCAAAATTATTTGATTTTAGACACTGAGCCTTTTTTCCTCAACTGTTTCACCATTTTATTTAACATTTGATCATGTTAACCAGGTTTACTCCACATTGGTATAGGCTGTAGTTCGAATCATCACCAGCAGGAGGCGTTTAACACCAGATTACTGAACTACTGTGGCTTCCAACCACATTCCTCAATAACAAGGCAACAGTGTTTTCACAATGAAGTAAGGTGTGTCCGGATTTGCAAATAAATGTGAAAATTATAGTACTTGGCACCCGTAACTATCTGCCGAGACTCACAACCTGCTTTTGTGGGGTGTTGTTGTCATTAATATGAAGATAATTAGGTGTTGGGTTTCTTTCTTCCCAGATGTTGTGTCATTGTAGCTTACCTCTCCACACAATCAGACAGACGAGAACAATGGCTTGAAGCTGGTGCATCATGTCCTCCGACTGCATACAAGAAACTGTTATATGTGGCCACACCCACTCCTCCCCTCCTCTTTGACATCGGTGCACACATACTCCATTTATTGGTGTGGGGATCAAAACATTCCATGGATCGCAGACAGGAGCTTCCATCACGACCACCGACAGCAAACAACCTGTAAATATATAAAGACAAAAAAAACATTCGCAGCTTATTTTACTTTAGTACTGTGTGAAGTATCAGAGTGAAACTGGATTCTCAATGACTTTGATTTTTTTGCAAGTGGGAAAATGCCTTTTCTAGACCAACCTTAAAATACTTACAATAACATTTTTCCACATTGTATTGGTTATTCGGCATATGTTATGGAAACATATGTTATTAAAACAGGAGTTTTGTAGATAAACAAAGAAAATGTTTTATCATTTGTAGCGCCCCCTACCTGTCTTTCTTGTAATTAAGTAGGACAGCGCTCCAGATTCATTAACTATATGCCTACAGATGTTGAAGTTAGGCCCCTCTGGTGTCACTAAATGAATTAATTCTCTTTTAGAAAATTAGAATAATAATCTATACTTTCCTTTTACGAAGTTACTCAGAATTAAATCTCTACGCCCCCAAACTGATGAAGTCAACAAACACTTCTGAAAGAATAACACACTGGTAAAAGTACAAAACAAATAAAGGATTTAATTGTAATAGAATGATCAAATGTTAACTGGCTCAAACAATGAGTTTCAGAATGTGAAGTGTTCCCACAATCACATTCACATTAAATGGGACACAATTTAATCCTCGAAGGACAATTTCTCAGATGCCCGACCTACTGAAATTAGTATACAGGTCCAATAGAATCAGTATATCTTAAACCAATGACCTCAATGGGATAAATGTATACAATAACTCACAAATTATACCAAATATACTCTGAATATAAACAATTATTTTCAGTGCACTGAATAATATTTAATGCGGTGGGCCCACACATACACACCAGTCATTCACACAACCCACCCCGTTGCAGGCCTGAAACGTGGCTCGTGTTCGTGGTGGCCGGGAAACTGACAAATGGCCCCTTCACTCTCCTGAGCACAAAACAATTCAAACAAAGATACCTCAATTCCACGTGCAATGATACCGCAACTCCGGAATCCTGCAGCAGGCGTCACGCAGCTCCTCGTCCTCTCTCTCCCTCGTCAGCCGACGAAATGCACCTCCCACGCCGCCAGAGGAACCCCAAATAACGCGGGTATTTGGGGCGCTATCTGGTCCTCAAGGTCTCCCTCGTTGTGAAGGGCAACAACCAGGTTAAACAGTCTTTAGTCGGTTGTTTAACTGTCGCTGTAATCAGTTCAGATGCGCAGATATGCGCAGTGATAACTAAACGAAAACACTCGGATTCGCTCCCACACGGCAGGTTAGCCACACAAAACAAAACTATAAAAACACTGGCTACAAAGTCAAAGACGCACACACAAGCAATTCATCTTGGATCTACATTACAGTTAAAGGTTGTTTAACTTATAAAATCGTCAATCAAATCACTCTGTACCCGCAAATGCGTCTCTCTCAATCTCCGTCTCTCTCCCTCTCTCCCTCGCGCTTGTCAACAAAAACTCTCATGTCCCGAACAACCACTCACATTACACAAAACACCAGTGAGGGCGGGACTTAATTCACATAAACCAATAACTAATCAAACACCTAACTTGATGGTTAAAGCCACGTTTTCCACAAGTACACCTCTATCAAACTTGTATCTCATGCACGCGCGCTCTTAAAGGCACAAATACACGTATGATCACAAACAAAGATGAATGGTTAATTCACATTTTCTCTCTTAATTAAACAAATACAAGCTAATAAATTGAAGTAACTTATTAACAACACAGTTATAACCTACTGGGTTACATGCTCCCCCTTCTAAACATCTCATGACCCCATGAGATTACTTCTCAACACCTTAATGGTGACTTTAGGCTCAGTAGAAGGGTTTAACTGAGTACAACGAACACATTGTGCCATAGGGTGACACCACATGGTGTTACAGGGTTTCCTTTCTGAACCTTCCCCACCCTCTACATTTATGACCATCCCTCTATGAATCAGAGTTAAGGGTCTGTTAGTGGGCTGTCCCAGAGAATCATAGCTCAACTTGACTACGGGTCGTATCTCCCTTTTTGGGCGGGAATGAACTGTCTCTACTACCTCTTTAGTAGCGTTAATTCTTTCCATCTCTCCCCCTTCTAAACCAGGATCTCCCCTAGTCTCTGAACTTCGATCGGGAAACTCTCCAGGGCCTTCTTCCATGATCATCGGCTCTGCCATGTCGTCAAAAGGTCTATCCACCTCCCATCCACAGTTAACCGGTTCATCCTCCACTGTAGAGTCCTCCAGTGTAACACACTCTGGACTGTGCTGTCTCTCCACTCTATCCGAGTAGTAATAACACACGTCATCCTCTTCACTTTCAGAGGAGTTTCTCAACTCACACCCTGTCGGCACTACATTTCTTTCTCCTAATCCTCTTCTCCGTTTTCTCTCCCTAGATCTTGTCCTGGTCTCCGCCGGAGCAACAACTCTTGTAGGTTCTCCAGCATCTGTCAACCTCACATGATCCCCAACTGGCAAGAGATGGTCTCGGTGTAATGTTCTTACACTTCCCATTCCGGACTCAGGTTTCAGGCGATACACTGGTAAGTTCTCTAGCTTTTCCACCACCAGGTAAGGAACAGAATTCCACTTGTTGCAGAGTTTGTTCTTTCCAGTCAATGCCAGATTTCTTATCAGCACACGATCTCCCACAGTCAGACTCTGGTGTTTCACTCGCTTGTCGTACAACCGTTTGTTCCTTCGCTGACTTTTCTGGGCAGTTTCGGTGGCTAACTGATATGCTCTCTGTAAGTCTAATTTCATTCTTTCCACATACTGTCGATGGCTTCCTGCTCCCTTTCCATCAGGCGAAGTCCCGAAACACACATCCACTGGCAAACGAGCCTCTCTTCCGAACAGAAGATAGTAAGGGGAAAACCCAGTGGCTTCGTTCTTAGTACAGTTGTAAGCGTGTACTAAACTGTTAATGTGCTGACTCCATCGGTTCTTTTCGGCTGGATTCAGGGTACCAAGCATGGAAAGGAGCGTTCTGTTGAACCGTTCTGGCTGTGGGTCTCCTTGAGGATGATAGGGAGTCGTTCTGGACTTTCGGATTCCCAACATGCTTAGAAGCTCTTTTATGAGACCACTCTCAAAATCTCGACCCTGATCAGAATGGATGCGAGAGGGTAAGCCATAGTGAACGAAGAATTTGTCACACAGTATCTTAGCCACAGTCAGAGCTTTCTGGTCTTTGGTGGTGAACGCTTGAGCGTAGCGTGTGAAGTGGTCTGTTACGACGAGAACATTACCAATACCTTTTGAGTCCGGTTCAATTGACAGAAAGTCGATGCACACTAAGTCGAATGGCCCACTGCTGTGTATGTGATTCAGTGGGGCCACTCTCTTGGGTAACGTCTTTCTCATTACACACCGGCCACAATCCTTGACATACTGCTCTATGTATGCAGACATTCTAGGCCAATAGAAACGGTCTTTCACAAGTTCCGTAGTTTTTTCTACTCCCAAGTGACCAGAGTCGTCGTGCAATGATTGTAACACAGTAGCCCAGTACTTCTCGGGTAAGACGAGTTGTGTCTTGTCTCTACCACAGGAACTTTTGGTGACTCTGTACAGAAGTTGACTCTTTATCTTTAACTTGTCTCCCTGCCGCTGTAACAGAGCAATGGTAGCATCAGAACTCCTAGTACCAGTAAGAATCCTTCCTGACTCCACTTCTCGCTTTACTACACCAACTACCTGGTCTTCCTCTTGAGCTTTCCTCAACTCAGTAGTGCTCAACTGTTCCATTTGACTAAGCCCCAAAGCTGTGGGACAAGAGAAAGCTTCAGGAATACCCTCAGGTAACACACCCAACGGATCCACCAGTCTGGATGATGAGCTTCCACTTTCAGCAACCACTGCTAACTGACAGATGGCTCTTACTCCTGACTTGGGTATCTCCTTCCATTCAGAGCAAGCAGTTGATTCACAGGGGTAGCGAGACAATACATCCGCATCGATGTTGGCACTTCCTGGTTTGTATTGCAAGCTGAAGTTATAGGTAGCTAAGGCAGCTAACCAACGATGACCCGTCGCACTCAGCTTGGCACTTGACAACACATAGGTCAGGGGATTGTTGTCGGTCTTTACCACGAACTGGGCTCCATATAGGTAGTCGTGAAACTTATCCACTACCGCCCACTTGAGTGCCAAGAACTCTAGCTGATGTATGGGGTACCGTTGTTCTGATGCACTCAGTTTCCGGCTTGCGTAGGCCACGGGCCTCATTCCTCCAGAATGCTCCTGATTCAAAACGGCCCCCAGTCCACTCAGACTAGCGTCTACATGCAGTACATAAGGCTTGGCAGGATCCGCGAAAGCAAGTACTGGGGCATGGGTGAGACAGTAAATGATTTTATGGAACGCTGCTGTACAAGTGTCGTCCCAACGCTCTCCAAAGGGTTCCGATACTCTGAAGTAAATCTTCCCATCACTTGACTTGCTTTTTTGCCCAGATGTTGGCGGGTAACCTTTAGTGAGCTCTGTTAAAGGCCTTACAATGGCGGAGTAATCCTTTATGAACCTCCGGTAAAATCCACAAAACCCCAGGAACGACCTCAATGTCTTTAGGTCAGTGGGCCTTTTCCAGCGTGTTACGGCTTCAACCTTGGCTGGGTCTGGTGATACTCCAGCAGCTGATACAATGTGGCCCACATACCGAACTTGAGGCTGGCAGAACTGGCACTTATCTATTGACACTTTCAGGCCACATTCTCTCAGACGGTCCAGGACTTTTAACAGCCTCTCTTCGTGTTCTTCAAGGGTGCGTCCGAACACAATGATGTCATCCAGGTATACTATTACTTGGAGGAGATGCATGTCACCAACAGCTTTCTCCATGAGCCGCTGGAAGGTGGCTGGAGCTCCAGTGATCCCTTGAGGCATCCGTTCAAACTGGAAGAATCCCAGGGGACAGATAAACGCTGTCTTTTCTTTATCTTCCTCCGCCATGGCTATCTGATAGTACCCACTGCGGAGGTCCAGCACGGAAAACCATTTACTACCAGCCAAACTGTCCAA